CTTTTTTGTTTCATTGGTTGTCAAAATATTTGAAAGATGAGTTGAGTCACGACCGAATCAGATTTTAATGTTGTGTTTATTCAGATTTTAAAAAAAAAATGTAAAAGATGAACGACCTGTCAGGATTAAACGTGTGTGTGTGTGTGTGTGTGTGTGTGATAATATTAATAATGATTATTAGTCATAATAATTGTCCACGTGTCAGTTTTTGTCTCGTTAATGATGATTCAGTAAAACATGACGTCAGTTTCCAGCCTGCGGCTCGGGGCCCTTCAGGGGCCTCAGGAGACGGTGGACAGGAGCGAAGGAGGGGACGTAACGTTCCCAAAGAGTGTCTTAAGTTAATGAAATTTGTATGAAATGTTTCCGTCGTTGCGTCTGTGGCGTTTCCATGGAGGAGACACTGACGTGTTAGCGATGGTTGTTTCAGATGGGTTGAAGCGGCGCTGAGGATTGAAGGGTTAATGAAAGGTTGGAAACTCAAAGAGCTGAATCATGAACCTTCCCCTCCTCTCAGACTCAGGACTTCTTCAGGTTCCACTCTGACTTCTTGGTGTCCTGTGAATCAGAGTAAAACCCGTCTGTGATGTCACTCAGCGAGCAGCTCAGGAAGCGGTTTAACCCCCGAAATGTTCGGTTTACATTTACGGCGAAGAGACGAGACAGCAGGAAGCTGAGCTCAGTTTAGGTTTAGACAGAAAAGAAAGAGCGAAGGATCTGTGTAAACAGGAAGGAAGCTCCCTCTGAGGGTTTCTGCTGCCGTGGGGACACACATGTGATGATGAGGAAGGAAAGTCTTCCTCACTCAGTTTCCACCTGCACCCTCCAGACCAGACACCACTCAGACCAGTTTATACAACGGGGACCTGGACTCAGTCTCTGTCTGTCCCTCAGTGCCTCTTGAGACACTGTGTCCAGGTGCTGGTCACTGCAGAGCCCAGGTCGCTAATTAATAATAATGATAACATGGAGACAGCAGAGCTCTGGGTGATGACATCATCACTGTTTCCATGTCAAAGCTTTAGATTCACTTTCTGGTTTTTATGAAAACTGATGATGGAAAACTGTAACACACACACACACACACACACACACACACACACACACACACAATAAATGAATCTTATACCGTTGCAAAGCCTGTTTATTTCCCTTTTAAATGGAACCACATTTGTGAGGATCATGTATTTGTGGGATGAGCCCATGAAACATTTGCCAAATCTTCTCTGCTAATGCCAAACAGCTTTTGTTGGCTGTTGACTCTTGTTTGGTGGATTGGATGATTGAAGTCTGAAGAAACAAGACACATTGGCAATTTAACAATTTTATTTATGCTGTAAAGCCCTGTGAGGCAAATTGTGATTTGTGATGTTGGGCTTTATAAATAGAATTGAATTGATTGATTTATTGCCAAGAAGCATTGTTACAACAATCAGTCAATCAATTTTATTTATAAAGCCCAATATCACAAATCACAATTTGCCTCACAGGGCTTTACAGCATACGACATCCCTCTGTCCTTATGACCCTCACAGCTGATAAGGAAAAACTCCCCAAAAAACCCTTTAACGGGGAAAAAACCGGTAGAAACCTCAGGAAGAGCAACTGAGGAGGGATCCCTCTTCCAGGACGGACAGACGTGCAATAGATGTCGTACAGAACAGATCAGCATAATAAATTAACAGTAATTTGTATGACACAATGAGACAGAGAGAGAGAGAGAGATGCAGATAATGACAGTAGGTTACAACAACATTATTGAAAGTAATAATATTATAGTTATAGTTCTGGCTACTGTGGTACAATATGTTGAAAGTATGTATTAATATCTGGCAGTATACATGTGTGACAATAGTCATATGTGTATAATAACAGTAGAAGTATGACTAATGACTAATGATGGCAGCAGCAGCAGGAGGCATCTGGCAGGACCACGGCAGCAGCACAACCACACACGTCACGCTGTCCAGGCACCGCTGTGATATGAGTTAATCTGAGAGACAGTGGAGCACAAAGGCTCCGGAGAAGAAGCCGAGTTAGTGACATCCAGAATGGCCGAGTTAGCAAGATGCAGTAATAGAATACGAGAGAGAGAGAGAGAGAGAGAGAGAGAGAGAGAGAGAGAGAAGGAGAGAAGGTGCCCGGTGTATTATAGGGGGGTCCTCCGGCAGACTAGGCCTAAGTCAGCCTAACTAGGGGCTGGTACAGGGCAAGCCTGAGCCAGCCCTAACTATAAGCTTTATCAAAGAGGAAAGTCTTAAGTCTAGTCTTAAATGTGGAGACGGTGTCTGCCTCCCGGACCGTAACAGGAAGATGATTCCACAGGAGAGGAGCCTGATAGCTGAAGGCTCTGGCTCCTGATCTACTTTTGGAGACTTTAGGGACCACGAGTAACCCTGCGTTCTCAGAGCGCAGTGTTCTGGTGGGATAATATGGCACTATGAGCTCTCTAAGATATGACGGAGCTTGACCATTTAGAGCTTTATAAGTTAACAGTAGGATTTTAAATTCAATTCTGGATTTTACAGGGAGCCAGTGCAGAGAAGCTAAAACAGGAGAAATATGATCTCGTTTCTTAGTTCCTGTTAGTACACGTGCTGCTGCATTCTGAATTAGCTGGAGAGTTTTTAAGGACTTACTAGAGCTACCTGATAATAGAGAGTTACAGTAATCCAGCCTTGAGGTAACAAAAGCGTGGACCAATTTTTCTGCATCTTTTCGGGTCAGGATAGGCCTAATTTTCGCAATATTACGCAGATGAAAAAATGCAGTCCGTGAGGTTTGCTTTAAATGAGAATTAAAAGACAAATCTTGATCAAATATTACTCCGAGGTTTCTTACGGTAGTGCTAGAGGCCAGAGCAATGCCATCTAGAGAAACTATGTCATCAGATAAAGAGTCTCTGAGTTGTTTGGGGCCAAGAACAATAACTTCAGTTTTGTCTGAATTTAACATCAGGAAATTGGTGCTCATCCAATTTTTTATGTCTTTAAGGCAGTTATGGAGTTTAGTTAATTGATTACTTTCTTCTGGCTTCATCGATAAATACAACTGTGTATCATCCGCATAACAATGGAAATTTATAGAGTGATTTCTAATGATGTTACCTAAAGGAAGCATATATAGAGTAAATAGGATTGGTCCGAGCACAGAACCTTGCGGAACTCCAAAACAAACTTTGGTACGTAAGGATGATTCATTACGAACGTCAACAAATTGAAAACGATCAGATAAATAAGATTTAAACCAGCTTAGTGCTGAACCTTTTAGGCCAATTAAGTGATCCAGTCTCTGCAGTAGAATTTGATGGTCAATTGTGTCAAACGCCGCACTAAGATCTAATAAAACAAGAACAGAGACGAGTCCTTTGTCTGAAGCAATCAGAAGGTCATTTGTAATTTTAACTAGAGCTGTCTCAGTGCTATGATGCACTCTAAATCCTGACTGAAATTCCTCAAATAAATTATTATCCTGGAGAAAATCACACAGCTGGTCTGCGACTACTTTCTCAAGGATCTTTGACATAAAGGGAAGATTAGATATTGGTCTATAGTTGGCTAACACCTCTGGATCCAGGGTGGGCTTTTTTAGGAGAGGTTTAATTACAGCTACCTTAAAAGACTGTGGTACATAGCCTGTTAATAGGGATATATTGATCATATCTAATATATGAGTGTTAACTAAAGGAAAGACCTCCTTAAGTAGCCTAGTTGGGATGGGGTCTAAGAGACACGTTGATGATTTAGATGAAGAAATCACTGCGGTCAATTCTTGAAGAGAAATTGGGGAGAAGCAATCTAAATATATATTAGGTCTTACAGCTGTGTTTGAGGTTAGATAGGTACTATCTGAGGGCAGGAGGTCATGAATTTTGCCTCTAATAGTTAGAATTTTGTCATTAAAAAAGCTCATAAAATCATTACTGCTAAGGGCTAAAGGAATACAAGGCTCAATAGAGCTTTGACTCTCCTTTTATTCATCCTTAGTAATTATTATATTATTAATTATTATATTCAAGGACCCCCTCAGCACCTTCCCAACAACTCCTGGAACATATTCAAGGATCCCTGGATTCTTCTCAAAGATATCTGTAACATATTCAATTCTGGAAATTCTTCAAAAACCCTGGAATACTTTCCAAGGACAATTTGCACCACAGAGAAACTTTAATGCCTTCTCAAGGTTCTCTTAAAGTCCCTTGGAACATCCTCAAGGACCCTGGAACCTGGAAACCCTCCAGTGACAGTACCAGTCACAGCGATGACATCAGTCTCTCAGGTGTTTTGAGCAGAGAGTTTCCTGTCTTTGGGGGCGGGGCTTCAGATGGCCTGATGACGTCACAGCCAGCAGCTCAGCCAGAGGTAGGTCATGAAACCGATGTGAGGTCAGAGGGAGGCGGTCTGAGTGCAGTGACGTAAACCAACCAGCAGGTGGAGACAAACAGCAGCTGATCTCAGACACATGTTCATGTACTCCTCACTGATAGAAGTAATCTGTACTCTGACCAGTTACTGCAGTAACTGAGTACTGCTACTGTGTTGTCAGAATACTCCATTACAAGTATCAGTCCTGCATTAAAGCCTGACTACAGTAACTGTGGTTAATAAAAGTATTGACAGTACACATAATCGCCTGTCAAGTATCAGTACTCGAGTAAAAGTACTCAGTGGAATTCTGTGTACTCTGATTACCTCAGGTCAGGTGAACTCACTGAAGTCTGTCAGATAATCAATCATTATTGATGACGTCATGTCCTGTATGATCTGAGCTGATGTATTGACGAGCTCCTTCAGTGATCAGCTGCGGGCGCTGCTGCCCTGGGTGTTGTCTGTCAGGCTCAGTCCGTTACTCCGTTACTGTTTGTTTTGTTTTTGTTTGTTGTTATCTGCAGTAAATCACCTGATGACGTCACACAGTTACCTGGGCTGAGGGGCGGGGGGGAGGAGCCTCAGGCGGGCCGGGGGGGACCTGCAGAGAGCGGACAGACAGGAGGCAACACTTCCTGTTTGTAGCTATCTCTGAGAGTGAGCGCGCGCTGGGAGTGGCACGCGGACACGGTGAGTCTGAAGTTTGATCTGTGCTCGGTCTCTGTCTGTTTGTGTCTGTCGGTTCCGTCTCACCGTCTGTGGGTCCGTTTCCGGTTGTCTCGTGGTGTTCGGTGTGTTGATTGACAGTCACGGTTTGTTCGGGGCTCGCGCGTCAACGCGGAAATGCCCTCGGTGTGGCGGTCAGACGTCATCAATCACTTCCAATAACTGGTTATTGATCCTCGACATGACACCAGTAAGGTACTGACGGCGGTGTGACGACACACACCTGGACCGTGTCTCAGGTAGAGGTGAGCTACAGCCTTCAGTGACGTTAAAGAGTCGGTTCAGCCGAACCTTAGGTTCCAGTCTCCTCTGTGTCCTCATGATGTCTACACTGTGAACACCTGCGGACACATGAGGACACATGTCTGTCCACAGGACAGCCTCATGTTCAGTTTATAGACATGTAGTCATAACTACAGTGTCTGTTCCGTTTGACCCTCACAGGACTCCGTACTAAAGCCCAGAGGATACTCATGGACTCTTATCTGTCTCTCTGCCTGTGGACAGACGCAGCTGCTAGGTACTGAAACACATGACCTGTCCTCCACAGTGAGACAGAGTCTGCGTCTGTCTGAACCTGCAGGACACAGCAGGACACAGCAGGACCAGAACTTACAAAGACTAACTACTTTCTACAGACGCACAGGAGCCATCTGTTTAGACCTCCTGGACCTGGACTCACTGGACCTGGTCTGTATTAAGGACTGTTACCAAGTGGATCAGGATCTTCCTGGTTCGAGTCTGAAATGATGAATCTGATGAACAGTAAAGCTGCGACTGTGATTCTACTGTCAGCTCTGCTGCTGGGGTGAGTTCAAGTACTACAGATACAATGAGTTTATCCAGTCTTATTAGGACTTACTGTAGTTTACTGGACTGTAATTAGAGACGTGAACTAACCACAGACACTGGACTGTCCTGATGTTATTACAGACATGTGAACTAACCACAGACACTGGACTGTAATTACAGACATGTGAACTAACCACAGACACTGGACTGTAATTACAGACATGTGAACTGACCACAGACACTGGACTGTCCTGATGTAATTACAGACATGTGAACTAACCACAGACACTGGGCTGTAATTACAGACATGTGAACTAACCACAGACACTGGACTGTAATTACAGACATGTGAACTGACCACAGACACTGGACTGTCCTGATGTAATTACAGACATGTGAACTAACCACAGACACTGGACTGTAATTACAGACATGTGAACTAACCACAGACACTGGACTGTAATTACAGACATGTGAACTGACCACAGACACTGGACTGTCCTGATGTTATTACAGACATGTGAACTAACCACAGACACTGGACTGTAATTACAGACATGTGAACTAACCACAGACACTGGACTGTAATTACAGACATGTGAACTGACCACAGACACTGGACTGTCCTGATGTTATTACAGACATGTGAACTAACCACAGACACTGGACTGTAATTACAGACATGTGAACTAACCACAGACACTGGACTGTAATTACAGACATGTGAACTGACCACAGACACTGGACTGTCCTGATGTTATTACAGACATGTGAACTAACCACAGACACTGGACTGTAATTACAGACATGTGAACTAACCACAGACACTGGACTGTAATTACAGACATGTGAACTGACCACAGACACTGGACTGTCCTGATGTTATTACAGACATGTGAACTAACCACAGACACTGGACTGTAATTACAGACATGTGAACTAACCACAGACACTGGACTGTAATTACAGACATGTGAACTGACCACAGACACTGGACTGTCCTGATGTTATTACAGACATGTGAACTAACCACAGACACTGGACTGTAATTACAGACATGTGAACTAACCACAGACACTGGACTGTAATTACAGACATGTGAACTGACCACAGACACTGGACTGTCCTGATGTTATTACAGACATGTGAACTAACCACAGACACTGGACTGTAATTACAGACATGTGAACTAACCACAGACACTGGACTGTCCTGATGTTATTACAGACATGTGAACTAACCACAGACACTGGACTGTAATTACAGACATGTGAACTAACCACAGACACTGGACTGTCCTGATGTTATTACAGACATGTGAACTAACCACAGACACTGGACTGTAATTACAGACATGTGAACTAACCACAGACACTGGACTGTCCTGATGTTATTACAGACATGTGAACTAACCACAGACACTGGACTGTAATTACAGACATGTGAACTAACCACAGACACTGGACTGTCCTGATGTTATTACAGACATGTGAACTAACCACAGACACTGGACTGTAATTACAGACATGTGAACTAACCACAGACACTGGACTGTCCTGATGTTATTACAGACATGTGAACTAACCACAGACACTGGACTGTAATTACAGACATGTGAACTAACCACAGACACTGGACTGTCCTGATGTTATTACAGACATGTGAACTAACCACAGACACTGGACTGTAATTACAGACATGTGAACTAACCACAGACACTGGACTGTCCTGATGTTATTACAGACATGTGAACTAACCACAGACACTGGACTGTAATTACAGACATGTGAACTAACCACAGACACTGGACTGTCCTGATGTTATTACAGACATGTGAACTAACCACAGACACTGGACTGTAATTACAGACATGTGAACTAACCACAGACACTGGACTGTCCTGATGTTATTACAGACATGTGAACTAACCACAGACACTGGACTGTAATTACAGACATGTGAACTAACCACAGACACTGGACTGTCCTGATGTTATTACAGACATGTGAACTAACCACAGACACTGGACTGTAATTACAGACATGTGAACTAACCACAGACACTGGACTGTCCTGATGTTATTACAGACATGTGAACTAACCACAGACACTGGACTGTAATTACAGACATGTGAACTAACCACAGACACTGGACTGTCCTGATGTTATTACAGACATGTGAACTAACCACAGACACTGGACTGTAATTACAGACATGTGAACTAACCACAGACACTGGACTGTCCTGATGTTATTACAGACATGTGAACTAACCACAGACACTGGACTGTAATTACAGACATGTGAACTAACCACAGACACTGGACTGTCCTGATGTTATTACAGACATGTGAACTAACCACAGACACTGGACTGTAATTACAGACATGTGAACTAACCACAGACACTGGACTGTCCTGATGTTATTACAGACATGTGAACTAACCACAGACACTGGACTGTAATTACAGACATGTGAACTAACCACAGACACTGGACTGTCCTGATGTTATTACAGACATGTGAACTAACCACAGACACTGGACTGTAATTACAGACATGTGAACTAACCACAGACACTGGACTGTCCTGATGTTATTACAGACATGTGAACTAACCACAGACACTGGACTGTAATTACAGACATGTGAACTAACCACAGACACTGGACTGTCCTGATGTTATTACAGACATGTGAACTAACCACAGACACTGGACTGTAATTACAGACATGTGAACTAACCACAGACACTGGACTGTCCTGATGTTATTACAGACATGTGAACTAACCACAGACACTGGGCTGTAATTACAGACATGTGAACTAACCACAGACACTGGACTGTCCTGATGTTATTACAGACGTGTGAACTAACCACAGACACTGGACTGTCCTGATGTTATTACAGACGTGTGAACTAACCACAGACACTGGGCTGTCCTGTTGTTATTACAGATGTGTGAACTAACCACAGACACTGGGCTGTCCTGATGTTATTACAGACGTGTGAACTAACCACAGACACTGGACTGTCCTGATGTTATTACAGCCATGTGAAGTATTCGTCATATAAACAACTGACAAACTGATAATTTATCAAACAGCATAAATGTATTTCCACCCTCACAGAGGTGAAATCAGCAGGTTAAACACTTCAACTCCCACGGTGCATTTCACTGACAGACAGCCAATCACAGAGCTGAAAACAGCCTGCAGCCGATGCTTATTCAGTAACTGTGTAAATATGATCTGATCACTTCTTTTTGATTATTAATGATTGATTGTGTTTGAACCCACAGAGTGTTGTACTGCTACGTTTACCTGTTCCCTTACCCCAGGTACACACACACTGATACACACACATTGATACACACACACTGATACGCAAGTTATTAACATTATTAATAACACAATAAAGTTAAGTGTGTTTGTTTGTGTGTGTGTGTGTGTGTGTGTGTGTATGCGTGTTGCAGAGCCGTCATATCCTTTGAGCCGGATGACATCAGACAGGAGGCGGGGTCAGTAACTCTGAGTTTTGTATTCAGTGGAGTTCGTGTTGCGTTTGAGGACGAATGCTGTTTCACATCAACACAAAAACACAAACACAACTTTAAACCAAACATCAGAACCATTTGACAGACGTGTCAGAGCCACAGTAAGTGTGACGCTGCAAACAGAACCAAACTGTTTGAGCGACAGACATTCTTTAACCCCGTCAGTAGCAGACATGTTTACACATCTTCCATGATGGCACCTTTAGTTTAGTTTAGTTTTATTAGATGGCATAAAACACAAGAGTACATATTACCCATGCACGTTGGCTGACACAATCGAGGATAAAAACACAATAAAGTCCAGGACTTATTTCCATTGTGGTCCTCATACATACAAGGTGGCAACCCACATGCGCGGCGGTTAAAGCTCCATCAATAAAACCATACAAAAACATACACAACCATGGTCACAATAAAGAAACGAAGGGAACAATCATATTTGAGACAGATACGTCTTCAAGAGCTGAGGCAGTTTTCATATAGGAACCTTTTCCAAAAGCCAGGCTTTTGTAAGAAATTTGGACCGACTTAAATTGGAGGCTAATTTAATAACCAAATCCAAGCCGTTCCACTGAAAAGACCCAGTGTAAGAAAAGGATCCCTCACCGATAAGAGATTTAAACTTATACAAGCGCACATCACCAACACTGGCTCTTGTAGAAATACTGTGTATTTCCCTAACATGTTGAAAATAATTTATTAAAAAAGCAGGGACAGCACCATAAATGATCTTATGTACCATACACAGCCTAGATAAAGTGACTCTCGCTTCAACTGGAAGCCAGTTGAGTTCTTTAAAATGGCTCCTACCTATGTGTGACCGGGGGCCCTGACCTAAAATCACCTTTGAGAAGTTTAGTTAAACTCTCAAACCAAGAGGTACTGGCAAAATCAAAATGACTTAAAATTAAAGAGTTAGCTAAAACTAACATTGACTCCCTGTCAAGCAATCTGGAGGTTCTTGCTAAAAATTTAGTGAGGCCAAAGACCTTGCCAAGAACTTTGTAAGCCATAATGTTACCATCCAAACGGCTTTCAAGAATACAGCCGAGGTACTTGACAGATGAGGTAGCAGATACCGTCTCACCATTTAGTGTGACCTTGACATCCGAGGACTTACTCATCCTGTGTTAGGAGCCAAAAAGAATAGCCTCGGTCTTACCTAGGTGCAAAGACAACATGTTATCAATGAGCCATGAATTAACCTTCGACAGCTCAGCACTCAAAATTCTCTCCAAGGAATCTCGTTCCTTGTGGGATTCTCCCTGGGTGTGGACTGATAGGCTTATCAGCTCCATCCTGCTCACACAGAGCCCTGTTCACCTGCTCACCTGTTCAGGCTGATACTCTGTCTTTATCTGATCCCGGATCTGTTGCGATCATTGTACATGTGGAACACAACAGGAAGCTCTGCCCACAGGAACACGTTCAATTAACTAAACATAAAGTGATCAGACGTGATTTAAAGAGACGGAAAGTTCATCTGCTGAAATATCAAATATCTGTAAAGTAAACCACAGACACACAGGTCAGAGGTCATTGATCAGAACCGTCCTGATCTAAGGTCAGTGAGGACAGAACCGACCCAACTGTGTCTCTGTGTGCAGTTCACGTTGTATCAGACTGTGTGAAGCTTTATCGAAGCAGTTTGTTTACACATTTACCACCTGTTTGAGATGTGTTTTATGACTCAGTTAATGATTTATTAACTTAAAAACTTTCACACTGTGAGATAAAAAAACACAGACGGGAACTTCCTGTTGTTAATGTCACAGAATATATGACTAATGTGTGTGTGTGTGTGTGTGTGTGTGTGTGTGTGTGCGCGTTGTGAAGACCTGCTGATGTCATCCCTGTGAGTTACGAGATCCACCTGGTGGCTCCTGAACAGTGAGTGCCTTCATCTTCATCTTCATCAGTACTAATACATGTCAGCATGAACCTCAGCAGACATCACTGTTTGAGCTGTAGAGATCAAACAGAGCTAACAGAGCTAACATGACTAATAGAGCAAACAGGGCTAACAGTGCTAATAGAGCTAACAGAGCTAACAGGGCTAATGGAGCTAACAATGCTAACAGAGCTATTAGGACTAACAGAACTCACAGTGCTAATAGAACTATCAGTACCAACAATGCTAATAGGGCTAACAGTGCTACCAGAACTATCAGTACCAACAGGGCTAACAGGGCTAACAGTGCTGACAGAGCCAAGATGGCTACCAGTGCTAACAGAGCTAACAGAACTATCAGTACCAACAGTTCTATTAGGGCTAACAGAGCTAACAGTGCTAAAAGAGCTAACAGAGCTCACAGTGCTAACAGGGCTAACAGTGCTACCAGAACTATCAGTACCAACAGGGCTAACAGTGCTACCAGAACTATCAGTACCAACAGGGCTAACAGTGCTAACAGTGCTTACAGTGCTGACAGAGCCAATAGGGCTACAAGTGCTAACAGAGCTAACAGAACTATCAGTACCAACAGGGCCAACAGTGCTAACAGCACTTAAAGAGCTCACAGTGCTAATAGAAGTATCCATGCTAATAGGGCTAACAGAGCTAACAGTGCTAACAGAACTATCAGTACCAACAGGGCTAACAGTGCTAACAGGGCTAATAGAACTATCAGTACCAACAATGCTAATAGGGCTAACAGAGCTAATAGTGTTAACAGAACTATCAATCCCAACAGGGCCAACAGTGCTAACAGGGCTAACAGCACTTGAAGAGCTCACAGTGCTAACAGTGCTAACAGATGTTAGCTGTATTTCTGATGAGGAAACTGTTTGTGTTTCAGTCTAAAGTACGAGCAGCCTAGCATCGTGCAGGGGTGAGTATCATTCACTGCTCTTTGTTTGTTTGTTTGTTTGTTTGCGTGACTTCATGTAAATTCTGATTCAACATTCGGACGTTTCCTCCGGCTGACATTCGACTGTCTGCTGACCGTAGCCTGAGGAAACGTAAACAGACTCTCTGGGCTGTGATCTGATTGGTCTGATGTGTTGAGGGTCTGATCTGAGGTCAGGTGTTAATAAGAACTACAGACTGTCACTGTGGCTGCTGTGATGATGTCATTCTTCACTGTAGCCGTAGCGACGTGGTGACGGTGACGCCTTGGTTGGCTCCTGTTGTGTGGGAGGGAACCTTCAGCCCAGTTCTACTCGACAGCATCTACAAACCAAAGAACATCAGCGTTGCCGCCACCGTGTTCGCTGTCGGAAAGTAAGCCTGACTTCACAACACTGTGGTTTCCATGCCGCCCTGAATGCAGCGTTTCATTCTTTGACGTGAACTGACCCCCGTGACGTTCTGGACAGGTACATCATGTTCCTGAAGAACTTCCTGGAGACGGCGGAGCAGCACTTCTTTGTTGGTTTCAGGGTGCACATCTACGTATTCACTGACCGGCCCACTGAGGTGCCCCAAGTCAAAATGGCCGCTGGCAGACAGGTAACAGACGACACAAGTGAAAAGAAACCAACCTGTTGGAGGTGTGGTTTGTCTGCAGCTGTTTCTCTGACTCCTCCCCCTCCTCCTGCAGCTGACAGTGCGTTCGGTGCCCAGCTCCAAGCGTTGGCAGGAGATCTCTGCTCGCAGGATGGAGCTCATCCAGACGCTCATAGAGGAGGAGCTTCGTAAGCATAGCGACTACATCTTCTGTCTGGATGTGGACTCCAAGTTCCACGGCCGCTGGGGGACGGAGTCGCTGGGCGGGCTGGTGGCTGTGATCCATCCAGGTCAGTGGGCGTGTCCCTGTGTAACCCCACCCTGAGTTAACCCCTGATTATTTCTAATAAGTTATTAGGGGTCCAAGCCCGTGGGGCCTGGGAAATGCGTATGCAAGCAGACTGTGTCCCAGGTCCCGCGGTGCTGAGAAACCTATTGTTTCTGTTCAGATTTTTATTGTTATTATTAAAAGGGCAAAAAGCGAAATCATTTCACTGCTAGGTTTGCTGTTGTGCACTGCCTGTAGACCAAAACAAAGTGTGTCATGAGCCACTCCTCCCTCTACCTCTGCTCTCCACCCCCCACTCCACTTGCCTCGTCTGTGCAGCCGAGCACCGCAGCACCTCCACGGACTATTACATCCAGACGGTCCCGGTGTTTCCTCCTCAGGCTCCACTTCACTCAGCTGCCCGATAAACCCGCTGCTTCTTCCCACTTTAACCTGAATAACAAACCAGGGCTCGGTGCTCCGGTTGGATCCAAACGGAGAGCCGGGGCTAACGTTAGCTGGGAAGCTAGCGGAGGCTAACTGGCTGTGCTGGCAGCTGAGTGAAGTGGAGCCTGAGGAGGAAGCACCGGTTAGCCCTGGTTTCACTACAGGCAGATTCAGTTGCCACAGGGGCGAGGAAATAAAACCTGAACAGCCAACTTAGTTTGCCTTAGTTTAGCAGTTAGCAATGTCTTTCACTCACTCTCAGTCTCTGCTGTGTTTAGCTATTTCCCTGCTTTCCTGTTAGCGTTAGCACTAGTTGGCTGCCACGCTAACATCCCTACTCTTCTGCTCATGGCTCCGGCTCACGCAGAGTAGGGACATTAGCGTTAGCTCCTGGAGTTAGCACTAGAGCTACTACGGCTACTAGAGTAACTTACAGCTATGGAGCGCTTCTACCAGCTCCTCTAGTCACTGAGCCTCGCCTCCATCTCAGCAAATATATTACATTTATTACAGGGACCATCATCATTGAAGTAGGCAGGGGAATAGCTAAACACATGATCGTACATGAACACGCAGCCGGACCGGCTTGTAAACAATGGGCTGGAGATCAACACAGAGAGAGGGTGTGTGAGGTCATGCTATACTCTAGATGAAATTACACCTCTAGTTCTTCACATAGCAACTTTTTAATTCCTTCAATCTAGAAATGATGAATTTCACTTATTGCTCCTTTAAACATCTTATTATTATTTTTCCGTAAGTAAAACTATTGCTGCAGGCTACACCATGCAAGGGAGGGTGGTGCAATTTGGAGGGTTGGTCCAGATCCCTGCAGGGACCTCAGACGCAAAAATGGACATACGTACACCTGCAGGGGGCGCTACAACCAAGGCCAACACGTTTTGGCATGTAACTCCCACACTGCATGTCGCACATTCAAAAGCCTTATATCCATGGATTCCCTGAATGGAGCTGCATCACGTGTGCATGGCTCCGCCCACTTCTGTCTAACTTTTTTCCCGCCAAAAATGGCAAAATCTGCAAAATCTACTTTTTCGAACTCCTCCTAAAGATTTTGTCCGAACTGCATGAAACTTGGCACCTACACTCACAAGATAGACCTGATCTAAAGTTATCGTTATCAAAAGAATTTTGCCCAGTCAAAAAATGTACAAATTATTGACAAACAAATTTTTGTAACTAGCTATGAAAATGCGAACTGTTCCGTATCTTTGTCAAATTAAAAGCTATCAGACCCAAACCTGAGATCCTTAGTAAGTATGTGACTGTGAGGGTGTAAACCGAAGTTGGTGAACATTGGCCGCTAGGGGGCGCTATAAAAATGGGAAGTTTATATCTCCTAAACGGTTACACCAATTTTTATGAAATTTGGTGGGTATGATGTAGGGCCATTCCTGAGGCCATATATTGAAGGTGGTCATGACTGGTCGTAGTGGATGTGGCTTATAACAAGATAAACAGAAAACATTTATTTCAGCTGAACTATTGTACTGAGGGCTGTGAAATTTATAGAGTACATGTAGAATAGGACACAGACCTAGCATACCAAAAATTATGCAGATACTTCACTAGGTGGCGCTATAACAGATGCAAATGCGTTTTTTCCTGTTACTTCCACATTTTAAATCACATATCCATAAACTTTATATACCCTTATTCCCTAAATAGAGCTGGATTTGCTGACTTAGGCCCCGCCCACTTACGCCACACATTTCCTTAGCTAAGTCGCTACACGTCCAAAACCTACTTTTTCAAACTCCTACAGATTTTGTCCAAACTGCATGAAACTTGGCACCTCGACTCTCAAGATGGACCTGATCTAAAGTTATCAAAAGAATTTTGCCCGGTCAAAAAATGTGCGAATTATTGACGACAAAAAATTTTTGCTAGCTAAAATACACATATTGTTGCATATTTTCTAAATTATATCAACATGACACTTAACACACATGTTCTAGAGGTCGTTCAGTGGTTCGGTGCCAAATTTGGCCCAAATTGGCCACTAGTGGAAGCTGTAAACCCAGAAATATCATGTTTCATGAAAGTAGATCGGATTTGTATGAAAATTAGTGAGCATGATGTGGGGTCAGTCCTGAGGCCAGCCGCAACATTTGGTAATGATTGGTCAAAGTGGGTGTGACTTATCGCAACAAACGCGTTCAGCCTTTTGGACTTCCAATGCACTTTCCATTATAGTGAATACTGCAGCTCAGATGTTGGCATGTCCTGACGCTCGCCCTGAGCCTGTCGTCCTTTGGGCCAACTATCGTGGGCTCCATGGGGCGCGGAGGCCGAGGTGCGCGGGGAGGCTTGGACCCCGTTCATGACTGCTTGCAGTTCTAGTTTATATTTACATTTCTGATTTAACCTGTTATTATTATTGATAGCTCAATTAATCAATTAATTACTCTGTTATTATTATTGTTATTTTAATAACCCAATTAATTAATTAGAATAGTAATTATTATTATCATTCTGTATTAAATTGACTCCACAAACACAAAACACAGTTTTAACTTTAACCTTCAGTTCAGAAAAACCTGTGACCGTTTACAGACGGTTGTTTTGTCAGGTCGCTAGCTTCATTCTGCGGCGCTTCATTTAGGCCAAGGAGGGGGAGTTGCAGCCATTTTTAACTCTAGTCTGTTAATCAGCCCTAAACCTAAACTAGATTATAATTCATTTGAAAGCCTCGTTCTTAGTCTTTTACATCCGACCTGGAAAACCTCGCAGCCACTTTTATTTGTTATAGTGTACCGTGCTCCTGGCCCGTATTCTGAATTTGTATCTGAATTCTCAGAGTTTTTATCCAGTTTAGTTCTTAAATCAGATAAAGTTATTATTGTAGGCGATTTTAACATTCATGTCGACGTTGATAATGACTCCCTGGCTACCGCGTTTATCTCATTAATAGACTCCATTGGCTTCAGTCAGGGTGTACATGAACCCACTCACTGTTTTAACCATACCCTCGATCTAGTTCTGACGTATGGAATTGAAATTGATAACCTAAAAGTCTTTCCACAGAATCCCTTGCTATCAGATCATTATCTGATTACTTTTGATTTCTTTTTACTCGATTACACGCCACTCAGCAACAGTTACTATACTAGATGTTTATCAGATAGTGCTGTCACAAAATTTAAGGAAAAGATTACTTCGTCGTTAAATTCAATACCAATACCTTCAGTAACAGAGGTTTCCCGTGCCGACTTTAACCTCTCCCAAATTGATCATTTTGTTGATAGCGCCGTAGGCTCGCTGCGAACAACGCTCGACTCTGTAGCTCCTCTTAAAAAGAAGTTAACAAAGCAAAGAAAGTTTGCTCCTTGGTATAACTCTCAAACCCGTAGGTTAAAACAAATATCGCGAAAATTTGAAAGGAATTGGCGATTAACCAAACTGGAAGAATCTCGTTTAATCTGGACAGACAGTCTCAAAACTTATAAGAGGGGCCTCCGCAATGCCAGAGCAAACTATTACTCAGCATTAATAGAAGAAAACAAGAACAACCCCAGGTTTCTTTTCAGCACTGTAGCCAGGCTGACTGAGAGTCAAAGCTCTATTGAGCCTTGTATTCCTTTAGCCCTTAGCAGTAATGATTTTATGAGCTTTTTTAATGACAAAATTCTAACTATTAGAGGCAAAATTCATGACCTCCTGCCCTCAGATGGTAGGCCTACCTATCTAACCTCAAACACAGCTGTAGAATCTAATATATATTTAGATTGCTTCTCCCCAATTTCTCTTCAAGAATTGACCGCAGTGATTTCTTCATCTAAATCATCAACGTGTCTCTTAGACCCCATCCCAACTAGGCTACTTAAGGAGGTCTTTCCTTTAGTTAACACTCATATATTAGATATGATCAATATATCCCTATTAACAGGCTATGTACCACAGTCTTTTAAGGTAGCTGTAATTAAACCTCTCCTAAAAAAGCCCACCCTGGATCCAGAGGTGTTAGCCAACTATAGACCAATATCTAATCTTCCCTTTATGTCAAAGATCCTTGAGAAAGTAGTCGCAGACCAGCTGTGTGATTTTCTCCAGGATAATAATTTATTTGAGGAATTTCAGTCAGGATTTAGAGTGCATCATAGCACTGAGACAGCTCTAGTTAAAATTACAAATGACCTTCTGATTGCTTCAGACAAAGGACTCGTCTCTGTTCTTGTTTTATTAGATCTTAGTGCGGCGTTTGACACAATTGACCATCAAATTCTACTGCAGAGACTGGATCACTTAATTGGCCTAAAAGGTTCAGCACTAAGCTGGTTTAAATCTTATTTATCTGATCGTTTTCAATTTGTTGACGTTCGTAATGAATCATCCTTACGTACCAAAGTTTGTTTTGGAGTTCCGCAAGGTTCTGTGCTCGGACCAATCCTATTTACTCTATATATGCTTCCTTTAGGTAACATCATTAGAAATCACTCTATAAATTTCCATTGTTATGCGGATGATACACAGTTGTATTTATCGATGAAGCCAGAAGAAAGTAATCAATTAACTAAACTCCATAACTGCCTTAAAGACATAAAAAATTGGATGAGCACCAATTTCCTGATGTTAAATTCAGACAAAACTGAAGTTATTGTTCTTGGCCCCAAACAACTCAGAGACTCTTTATCTGATGACATAGTTTCTCTAGATGGCATTGCTCTGGCCTCTAGCACTACCGTAAGAAACCTCGGAGTAATATTTGATCAAGATTTGTCTTTTAATTCTCATTTAAAGCAAACCTCACGGACTGCATTTTTTCATCTGCGTAATATTGCGAAAATTAGGCCTATCCTGACCCGAAAAGATGCAGAAAAATTGGTCCACGCTTTTGTTACCTCAAGGCTGGATTACTGTAACTCTCTATTATCAGGTAGCTCTAGTAAGTCCTTAAAAACTCTCCAGCTAATTCAGAATGCAGCAGCACGTGTACTAACAGGAACTAAGAAACGAGATCATATTTCTCCTGTTTTAGCTTCTCTGCACTGGCTCCCTGTAAAATCCAGAATTGAATTTAAAATCCTACTGTTAACTTATAAAGCTCTAAATGGTCAAGCTCCGTCATATCTTAGAGAGCTCATAGTGCCATATTATCCCACCAGAACACTGCGCTCTGAGAACGCAGGGTTACTCGTGGTCCCTAAAGTCTCCAAAAGTAGATCAGGAGCCAGAGCCTTCAGCTATCAGGCTCCTCTCCTGTGGAATCATCTTCCTGTTACGGTCCGGGAGGCAGACACCGTCTCCACATTTAAGACTAGACTTAAGACTTTCCTCTTTGATAAAGCTTATAGTTAGGGCTGGCTCAGGCTTGCCCTGTACCAGCCCCTAGTTAGGCTGACTTAGGCCTAGTCTGCCGGAGGACCCCCTATAATACACCGGGCTCCCTCTCTCTCCCTCTCTCTCTCTCTCTCTCTCTCTCTCTCTCTCTCTCTCACTCTCATCCTATTACTGCATCTTGCTAACTCGGCCATTCTGGATGTCACTAACTCGGCTTCTTCTCCGGAGCCTTTGTGCTCCACTGTCTCTCAGATTAACTCATATCGCAGCGGTGCCTGGACAGCGTGACGTGTGTGGTTGTGCTGCTGCCGTGGTCCTGCCAGATGCCTCCTGCTGCTGCTGCCATCATTAGTCATTAGTCATACTTCTACTGTTATTATACACATATGACTATTGTCACACATGTATACTGCCAGATATTAATACATACTTTCAACATATTGTACCACAGTAGCCAGAACTATAACTATAATATTATTACTTTCAATAATGTTGTTGTAAGCTACTGTCATTACCTGCATCTCTCTCTCTCTCTCTCTCTCTCTCTCTCTCTCTGTCTCATTGTGTCATATGGATTACTGTTAATTTATTATGCTGATCTGTTCTGTACGACATCTATTGCACGTCTGTCCGTCCTGGAAGAGGGATCCCTCCTCAGTTGCTCTTCCTGAGGTTTCTACCGTTTTTTTTCCCCGTTAAAGGGTTTTTTGGGGAGTTTTTCCTGATCAGCTGTGAGGGTCATAAGGACAGAGGGATGTCGTATGCTGTAAAGCCCTGTGAGGCAAATTGTGATTTGTGATATTGGGCTTTATAAATAAAATTGATTGATTGATTGATTGATTACTGAACGTAACGTAGCGAGCCCTGCCCTCGTTAACTCTTTCTCCACCAATTTATTATTTTTAGGTTTCCAGCACTTTGATCATCATCACTGATCTTTACAGACCCACAGAATCATTTGTTCTATGAATGTATAAACAGTCTATACTGAAGAACAGACCGATTCCATTTCTTTTTATCAACTCTTGACTTTTCATAACAGAAACAACATTTTGGACAAGAAGCTGAGAAAAATAACCAAAAGAGTCATTTTCAATTAAAGATTAATTTCACATTTACATTTTTGTTATTTCTAATTTCCTGACGTCAGTTTGAATTGTAGAAATGACAGTAATTATAACAATAATAATAATGATTTAAGGTACAGCAGCGGAACACGTCACGTTCAGTGTTCTGTTGTCTCCGTCTCCTCTGTGGTCGTCATGGAGATCCTCTTCCATCCCACCAAACTGGTTTGTTTCTTCGTCCAATCAGATTCAGAATGTTGATCAAAACAGGAAGTATCGGAGTCTGAGTCCATCGACGTCTCCACGACTTGTGCAACCGTGAACTTTTTGTTGGTGCCGGCGTTTTGGTGCAGTTCACAAGCTGCTACATTTCTGTAAACAACATCTTCTTCCTGTTTCCAGCGGGTCTTCTTCTTCATTTGTTTTTAGACACTGCAGTGCTGTTGTATTTCACATGATGTGTAACAGCGCCACCTATCTTATACAGTTTGCTGGAATACCAGGTCAGTGGCGGGGAAAGAGTTAAATGCATGGCGGACAGAAACCATCGTGTCCACAGTAACGACTCCCCACAGACAGATCACAGGTTTCAGAGTGGATGAGTATCAGGTTTTATTTGATGTCGGCGAATTTTTACTGGTGAGAATCATGTTTGATTCAGGATCATCATGATAATCCATGTGTGTGCAGAACCTCTGAAGTCACTGCTTACTGTCTGAGCCCCTGCAGCAAAATAAAATGTAAAGGAGTGAACTGCAGACTTATATTTAACAGACTTTATATTTCCCAGGATGCACCTGTGTTCTCCTTCAGTACCGTCAGACTGTTCGTTTGTTTGTCTGCAGGTTACTATAGAGATGACCGCAGTAATTTCCCCTACGAGCGGAGACCCGAGTCCAGAGCCTACGTGGCGTATGGGGAGGGGGACTTCTACTACTGCGGGGGGGCCTTCGGAGGCCTCCTACAGGAAGTACACCTGCTCGCCAAAACCTGCCGCTATAACTTCGAGGCTGACGCCAAGGATGGCATTGAGGCTGCCTGGCAGGAGGAAAGTCACCTTAACAGGTAGGCAGGATTAGAGTCACCTTAACAGGTAGGCAGGATTAGAGTCACCTGAACAGGTAGGCAAGAGGAGAGTCGCCTTAACAGGTAGGCAGGAGGAGAGTCACCTGAACAGGTAGGCAGGAAGAGAGTCGCCTGAACAGGTAGGCAGGAAGAGAGTCGCCTAAACAGGTAGGCAGGAAGAGAGTCGCCTAAACAGGTAGGCAGGAAGAGAGTCACCTGAACAGGTAGGCAGGAAGAGAGACTGTCTTGAAACGGTGTTGACCTTTGACCTGTGTTGTGATGATGTACTTCCTGTTTGTTCAGGTACATGTGGATCAATAAGCCCAGTAAGGTGCTGTCACCTGAGTACCTGTGGCAGGACTTCAAACCCAGAAACTCTGAAGTTCACGTCATCAGGTTCTCTGGAGTCGTTAAAAACTACGCTGAGATCCGACCCAACGTCTGAGACTCTGGACCGGATCGCAGCAGAGTCACGGTTTGAAAGGGTTCAGAGAAACTGCCTGTACACACCTGAGCTTACCCTCAACCCACCATTTCACCTGACTCCTGGCTGTCGGCCACAGACTGAACCCCACAGAGATAACACAGCACTTCCTTTTCTTACCCAGTGTCACAGCACAATCCGTCCCCCCCTCAGGTCCTGAACCTCTACTGAGCACGTGCAGCTCACTGAACCTCTGAGGCTGTCGACACTGGACTCTCTCTGACCTCCCTCTTCTTCCTAAATTATGAACCTCAGGTGACCCACACTCAGCACTGTGCCTGAATGCATCATGTGTGAAGCTGATGCATGACTGAAGCTGACGTCTGCGTCGCCGCTTTTCTTTTTGTTTTGATTTTAACCTCATTTTTAGACCAGGGAAAATATTGAAGTCTAACATGTCGTATTTTCGTTACCCCGCAAGCTGCTCAGTCAGCACTCCCTCAACTACATGGCTTTATGCAAGTGAATGCACAGTGATGTCATCAATATGCAAATGAGTGTATGTAAGGCCGTACAATTAATTGTCTGGTGATCGCAGGTACGATTTTGAGGTCAAAGGATTTCAAAATTAATGAAATTGAGGGTAAATGATTTTTGGTCACGGACGCCTGGAGATGTTGCTTGGTCTTCTACGGAAGCCACGCATGCGCAATACCGCCCCCTCCCCTGCTCTCCTCTACATAAGTTTATGACATCATCTGTCAACTCATAGAAACTTTTGGTGCTTGTGCTACTTTCATTGGAAAAGAGTCAGAAACACTGGCAGTTGATGATGATAACGTTAGCAGGCTAACAGGAAGTACGCATTAGGAACGTAGGAAGCTAACTATGCAAACGATACCAGGTCAGTGCTTCCAACATCGTGCGTCTGTTTCACCGTGTGACAGATTCTCATGTTATAGAAAATAATTTCAATATAAAATGTGAACGAACAAAAAGAAAAAACTTAGGGACTGTTCGTTATTTATTCTCATTTTTGAAGCACTCAGGAGGGACTTATGTTTTTTATTTTGGTTTAGGGGCGGGGCATACAGAAATCGTTTGTTAGGATGAAGTATATGGGCCCCCTATGTAACTGATCTGTGGCATCCCTATAGAAAACACATCATCCATTATCATCCAGACCTTGGGTCTCTGCCCAAACCAGATCCAGATGTGCTGGCCATCAATCAATAAAATTAATACAAACATGACGTATGCCTATGCCTAGGTTACTTCATCCTAACATGGTTGGATGTGATGAACACTTCTGTCAGAAAATAAACCCGTAACCAAATATGATCTTGAAATAATGATATTTCATTCTAATCACTTTATTCTACGTCTCATTTAAGATTTGTCCAAAAATAAAGCATTTGTACAACAAAAGTGAAAAACTGAGATTTTCTTCAACCTTTAACGTTCAAACATCAAATATCTAATAACTAATTTTTGGTGGAGAAAGAGTCGTGGATGTTCCCCCACCTGCCCCCGTCCTCTGATAAATAGTAAACTGTAAAAGAACAGGCCCTTAGGGTTAGCTCCTCAGATAGCCACAGGCTAACTTTAGCTAAAGCTAAAACAAAATGTCCTCTCTCTGTGGTCTGAAATATACAAATGAACCAACAAGTGAATGATGTCATCTTTATAATTAGGGACCTCGGCTGAAGGGCGAAGTCCCTCTTGTTCCTGTAACGTTTAATCTTGAAGTGCCTGTGCTGTCACCTAAGAACATGCAGGCTGTCTGACTGTGTGAGTGTGTGTGTGTGTGTGTGTGTGTGTGTGTGTGTCATACTTCTACTGTTATTATACACATATGATTATTGTCACACATGTATACTATCAGATATTAATTCAACATATTGTACCACAGTAGCCAGAATTATAATTATAATATTATTATTTTCATTAATGTTGTTGTAAGCTACTGTCATTACCGTCTGTCCTGCATCTCTCTCTGTCTCCCCTTCTGTCTCATTGGGTCCTGAGGACAGAGGGATGTTTATGCTGTAAAGCCCTGTGAGGCAAATTGTGATTTGTGATATTGATTGATTGATTGATTGATTGATTGATTGATTGATTGATTGATGTCCTCGTCAGTAGTTTGGTTTTCAGAAGCCATCAAAGTTCTACTCCCAAGCCATGAGTTCATTGCCAAAAATGACCTTGCGTTATATTGACATAGCTTGTTTTAAGATTCAAGATTCAAGATTCATTTATTTAGTCCCGAAGGAAATTTGTGTTGGACATGCACAGGCTGCTACCTAGGACATAACACATAACATTAACAAGAAACACAAGTGCTAACAGTGCAGACATAAAGACATAAAGTGTGGTCGTAAAGTGCATACCTGAAGTCCATACCCACATACTCCATACAGACATACAATCATAAAGTGCATACCTAAGTGCATACATACATACATACATACATACATACATACATGCATACATTACCGGCCTGTGTTCAACAGGGTAATGGATAGTGGAATGAATGAAAATTTATGCCTATTCAAAAACCTTTTTTCATTTTTTACTGGGATTCTGTAACGTCTGCCAGAGGGTAACAGTTTGTATTCTGAATTTAACACATGAGAGGGGTCCTCAATTATTTTCCTGGCTTGTCTGAGTACAGTGTCTTCAAATATTGCTTGGATTGTGGGGTGCTTCCTCACCCCCATCACTTTTAGTGTACTGAGAGCTAGTCTGTTGATTTGGGACTTTAATTTCACAGTTAAATTTCCAAACCAAACAGAAATTGCATAGCGAAATATACTCTCAATCACAGCATGATAGAAAAGCAACATCACCTTCTGTTGGATACCAAACACCCTAAGCCTATGTAGAAAGTGCTTGTTTTATCGACATTTTGACTCTTACAAATAATTCACACTGTCTACGTGAGCTGGAGGCCGACAGCGAGAGCCTGAGGTCCCGTTCATCGCTGCTTGCAGCTTTAATTCAGTTTGTTTTTCCACTTAAATCAATAAAACATGAGCTAATGCTAACTAGCTTAGCATAGTAGCTGCTCAGTGTTGTTAATCTTAAGAACCTGAAGATTAATTATAAAGTAAAATCTTCCTCCTTTTCTGTGAAGATGGTCAATGTTTAAGTCATAAACTCCTGGGCGTGACATCAGTCCTGTGGGCGTGTCACAGCCGAGGGGGCGGGGTTATATCAGTGCTGCTGGAGCTGATGTTTTGTCTGCAGCAGGTTGTGTTAATAAAGTTTAATCAGTTTAATGAAGGGATGACACAAACAATGACGATGATGATGATGATGACTAATGAAGGGACTGATTGAGTGTGCGGTGATTAGCTTGTTAGCTCATTGATGCTAGCTCAGACTGTTTTAATGAATGCTGTGGCCTGTAGAGGGCGCTGTCATCAATAAAACATGTTGGTCTGTTGGACGTGTCACCTCACAGTTCTTCTGCTCATCTGAGCGCGTGCAGCAGCAGTGGCAGCGGTGGTGGCGAGGGTTTGCCGCAGTTTTCCACCCAGAGGTGCCTTCACTGACACTTTTGCTGTGATCCATTTACGTTGCTACGAGCAGTGAGACTCAAGATGATGACGTGAAATGTTGTAACTTCCTGTTTAAATTGGCGGTATGCGTCCCCGTTTGCGTTTGTACCATTTACGACCTAAACGTAAACAAAGATGGATGGCTCCAAGAAAGCAGTTGTCACTATTGCAGTAGAGGAGCCTTTATTATTAGCATCACTGCTAGCTACTTTCACCAACACCAACGGATAAACAACACATTCACAACAACACATCACAAAACATTCCCATAAGGCGAGTCATTCACATGAAGACTCAAATGTGCTAAACAGTAAAAATAACAGTAAAGCGCAGAGCCACTTATGGTAAATATAGGGCACAGTCATCTTTGCTTTCGTCAGTCTTTCAAAACTCATGGTCCTCTGAGTTCGTACGAGGTGGTACGAGAACCGCCTCAAAGAGGCGTGTTATGTCGTGTCGCGTAATTTTGCGCAGCTTCCTGTCTTTCCTAACAGACCATTTGTCTGATCGTGACGACAGAAGATCTGGTAACTCTGAGATCTCGATGATCCAGACAGGGGTGACGCCACGTGTGCTGTTGTTCTTGTTGTTTGGTTGCAGCGTCCCTGAACATAAACAACAGATGCCAAAGGATACAGAACGTGTAACATACAGACGTGACAGGCGACCACAGAGCGTTTTTATTCTCTCACAGATCCACACTGGTCAGAGTCTGAATTATTTAATCCTGCTTCATTAAACTTCACTGAAGGCAGGACTCTTTATTCACCTCACAGAGAAGGTAGGGTTTCCCCAAAATGTTGAACTGTTCCTTTAACGATAATAAATCAGGATGAAGTCATGAAGAGATGATGATGACTCATAAACAAGTTTATAATTATCTGATGAGGACAAAGAGACACACGGCCCCTCATTTTCACTTCAGTCTGATAGATTTGATTATGTTGACATGTTTAACACACCTGGAACTTCCTGTCGTCACTCTCAGTGTTCTATATCATGTTATTTTATTCTAATATTAAATCAAGTTCAAACTTTATTTAAAGTGAACATAATGATATGTGTTCAGAGATCTCTGTGTGAAACAAACCTCTGAAACATTTTAACTAAATTTTTAGAAGTTTTTATTTGACAAACATCTAAAGAGTCCGATTGTTTCAGAGTTAAAGTGTTTCCCAGAGGTCAGAGAGAGTCTGATGAACGGCTCCACCTGCTGGACACAAAACAAACTGCAGCTGAAACATGTTGAAACATCAGAGCCTCAGATTCAGAAGATTAAAACATCAAGACGACAAGAGGAAGTGGAAACAGACTCTGTGAGACTGATCTGAGCCGCACGCACCTGCTTCAACACACCGTCAATAAAACCAAAGAGACGTGTGAAAGGTCTGGTGAGTTCAGGTGCAGCTTTAAACAGGAACTCTTTGATCAGTTGGTCTTTGTTACTTTCAGGTTACTGTTGTTGCCTCTGATTGGCTATTGTTGTGTGTGTGTGTGTGTGTGTGTGTGTGTGCGGGTGTGCGTGCGTGTGTGTGTGTGTGTGTGTGCGTGTGTGTGCAGGAGCAGATACAATCTGTGTGTGTTCAGGTTAAAGTTGTGTTTTTAACAGCAGCAGCTGGTCACATAATGATCCACCGCTCATGGCTCCGCCTCCACACACACACACCCCCATCCATCACAGCATGATCAGTGTTTGTCTGACGCTGCTCGTTGTGGAGGAGCTGCTGACTATGAACACATGAATGTCTCTATCTAGAGTCAGTGTTTGGTTTGTCTGCTCTGGGCTACTGTAGAAACATGGCGGCAACATGGTGATCTCTGTAGACGAGGACCTGTTCCCTCTGGAGATATGAACAGCTCAGTCTGAGGGAACCAGAACACAAACATCTGGAGCTTCACACTCTCTGATGATAGGACGCACTCGGCTGATGTCACCTCCTCAGGACGTCGTCCTTCATCACCTGAATGTTTTGAATCAAACCAACATAAACACGGTGAGGTCGTCTACGAGTGTCCTCACAAGTCCAGTACAACAACTGAGTGTGTTCTGCAGCTGATTGGATGTTTTCTGAAAATCAGGAAAAAAAGAGGAAAAGACAGGAAGTGCTCACAAAGACAGGAAGCTGAAATAAGACGCGTGTGTTACTCTGTGTGTGTGTGTGTGTGTGTGTGTACATGTCACAGTCAAAGTTCAGGCCTCATAATCTTTGTCAAACATTCACTTTCACACAAACAGTAACACACACAAACATTAAAACAACAGTGTGTGTGTGCAGAGACAATCAAGGTGCCCTCACACACCCAAACATCCTGAATCCATTTATGACGTGTGTGTGTGTGTGTGTGTGTGTGTGTTACTGTGTGTGTGTGTGTGTGTTACTGTGTGTGTGTTACTGTGTGTGGGCGGAGAGACATGATTTCATTTCAGGGCGAGTGAGCACCACTGAAGAATGAGAATGAGAGAGAGAGGAGGCAACTGAGCGCGCTCAGATCAGATCAGTCTGCAGACGGAGGAGCAGTCAGGAGGAGCAGGCAGACGGAGGAGCAGACGGAGCTCAACAGGAATCGAACCTGTGGACGTTCATTAACAGACGACAGGTTTGATTTTCTTCTTCTTGTGTTTGTGTTCAGATCATTTCTGTCAATCAAACAGTTAATGTTTATTTAGTGTAATGAGAGTCAGCAGAGAGTCTGAGACTGAAGATAAAGTCTCACCATCCTCATCATCATCATCCTCATCATCATCATCATCATCATCATCATCATCATCATCATGGTCAGAGACACTTAGTGGATCCTCAGGAGGAAACTGTGGTTTGTTACGACAGTGTGTGTGTAAAAAATCTTAAATGGCTTCTGTTGGGTCTGCAGATTAAAGTCCTCTCAGATATTTGGGATCAGAGGAGAAACTGAACAGGAAGTAGATTTTACAAACATGACGTCCTCGTACGGGGACACTGGGTTTACAGTTTATTTCAACACCTGAATGCAGCTGTGTAAAAACTAAATCACGAATAATGGACCAAATCTAAAAGTCATGTGATCTGTTTGTTTTGTTGCTCCATGATCAGAATGTCCCGCTGTCTGTAGAGACACTTTGTCTCACCTGATTGGTCGGTGTGATAATATGACAACAAAGTCCAGACGTCCTCGCTGACATCTCATCTTGTTCCTGTTGCTAACATCGGTCACATGTTGTCGTATCAAACTACAAACTTTATCAAACATGAAATAAGTCTCAACCCTAACACATGATCAGGTTTTGTCCATTTCTGTGTTGGATCAGCTGCAGACTGACTCTGCAGAGATGGCTGCCATTTTGTTTTCACATGGATCAGTGTGTTGTGATTCTGCCTCCACTAGATGAGACAAAAAGCGTCCAGGATCATTGATGACAGGTCTGAGTGACGCATGATGGATGTGATGTCATCATCTGAGGACATTAATTGAATCTTGACAGAGGAAGAGGTCAACACATAAACATGTCATTAGTCATGTGACTGTACAGAGCAGATGACCCGGGGCAGAGCCCTGTGGGACTCCTCACACTGAATCATTCATGTCACCTGACACAGATCAGTTACACGTTCATTGAGACCGACAGGTGAGTTTGTGTTCAGAGCGTTGGTCACGTGACTTCAGGAAACAGCTGACAAACACTTCCTGTTTTCTATCATCAGGTGTCAGTCATCACCTGTCTGACATGTTGTTGTTGTCATCCTCCCAGGTGTGCGTCTCCATGGCGACAGATGTGTGTGTGCTGCTAAGCGTGTGGGTCGGTGTGTGCGTGGCGTTCAACCTCGACACGTCGTTCCCGCTGCTGAAGAGGGGCCGAGACGGAAGTCTGTTCGGACTGTCTGTGGCTCTGCACCAAGACCTGAAGACCGACCGTTACTTGTGAGTAACACCTGTGTGTGTGTGAGTGTGTGTGTGTGTGTATTCTCAGGTGTGTCCAGGTAAATGATTGACTCTGGCCGTCACCGTTCAGACTTCCTGTGTGTGTTGACATTTGTCCTCATTAGTCAGCTGGTTGTTTGTCAGCCTGTGGTCAGCCCTTTGTCAGCTCTTTGTCGGCTCTTTGTCGGCTCTTTGTCAGCCCTTTGTCGGCTCTTTGTCGGCTCTTTGTCGGCCCTTTGTCGGCCCTTTGTCGGCTCTTTGTCGGCTCTTTGTCGGCTCTTTGTCGGCCCTTTGTCGGCCCTTTGTCGGCCCTTTGTCGGCTCTTTGTCGGCTCTTTGTCGGCTCTTTGTCGGCTCTTTGTCGGCCCTTTGTCGGCCCTTTGTCGGCTCTTTGTCGGCTCTTTGTCGGCTCTTTGTCGGCCCTTTGTCGGCCCTTTGTCGGCCCTTTGTCGGCTCTTTGTCGGCTCTTTGTCGGCTCTTTGTCGGCCCTTTGTCGGCCCTTTGTCGGCTCTTTGTCGGCTCTTTGTCGGCTCTTTGTCGGCCCTTTGTCGGCCCTTTGTCGGCCCTTTGTCGGCTCTTTGTCGGCTCTTTGTCGGCTCTTTGTCGGCCCTTTGTCGGCCCTTTGTCGGCTCTTTGTCGGCTCTTTGTCGGCTCTTTGTCGGCCCTTTGTCGGCCCTTTGTCGGCCCTTTGTCGGCTCTTTGTCGGCTCTTTGTCGGCTCTTTGTCGGCCCTTTGTCGGCCCTTTGTCGGCTCTTTGTCGGCTCTTTGTCGGCTCTTTGTCGGCCCTTTGTCGGCCCTTTGTCGGCCCTTTGTCGGCTCTTTGTCGGCTCTTTGTCGGCTCTTTGTCGGCCCTTTGTCGGCCCTTTGTCGGCTCTTTGTCGGCTCTTTGTCGGCTCTTTGTCGGCCCTTTGTCGGCCCTTTGTCGGCCCTTTGTCGGCTCTTTGTCGGCTCTTTGTCGGCTCTTTGTCGGCCCTTTGTCGGCCCTTTGTCGGCTCTTTGTCGGCTCTTTGTCGGCTCTTTGTCGGCCCTTTGTCGGCCCTTTGTCGGCCCTTTGTCGGCTCTTTGTCGGCTCTTTGTCGGCTCTTTGTCGGCCCTTTGTCGGCCCTTTGTCGGCTCTTTGTCGGCTCTTTGTCGGCTCTTTGTCGGCCCTTTGTCGGCCCTTTGTCGGCCCTTTGTCGGCTCTTTGTCGGCTCTTTGTCGGCTCTTTGTCGGCCCTTTGTCGGCCCTTTGTCGGCTCTTTGTCGGCTCTTTGTCGGCTCTTTGTCGGCCCTTTGTCGGCCCTTTGTCGGCCCTTTGTCGGCTCTTTGTCGGCTCTTTGTCGGCTCTTTGTCGGCCCTTTGTCGGCCCTTTGTCGGCTCTTTGTCGGCTCTTTGTCGGCTCTTTGTCGGCCCTTTGTCGGCCCTTTGTCGGCCCTTTGTCGGCTCTTTGTCGGCTCTTTGTCGGCTCTTTGTCGGCCCTTTGTCGGCCCTTTGTCGGCTCTTTGTCGGCTCTTTGTCGGCTCTTTGTCGGCCCTTTGTCGGCCCTTTGTCGGCCCTTTGTCGGCTCTTTGTCGGCTCTTTGTCGGCTCTTTGTCGGCCCTTTGTCGGCCCTTTGTCGGCTCTTTGTCGGCTCTTTGTCGGCTCTTTGTCGGCCCTTTGTCGGCCCTTTGTCGGCCCTTTGTCGGCTCTTTGTCGGCTCTTTGTCGGCTCTTTGTCGGCCCTTTGTCGGCCCTTTGTCGGCTCTTTGTCGGCTCTTTGTCGGCTCTTTGTCGGCCCTTTGTCGGCCCTTTGTCGGCCCTTTGTCGGCTCTTTGTCGGCTCTTTGTCGGCTCTTTGTCGGCCCTTTGTCGGCCCTTTGTCGGCTCTTTGTCGGCTCTTTGTCGGCTCTTTGTCGGCCCTTTGTCGGCCCTTTGTCGGCCCTTTGTCGGCTCTTTGTCGGCTCTTTGTCGGCTCTTTGTCGGCCCTTTGTCGGCCCTTTGTCGGCTCTTTGTCGGCTCTTTGTCGGCTCTTTGTCGGCCCTTTGTCGGCCCTTTGTCGGCCCTTTGTCGGCTCTTTGTCGGCTCTTTGTCGGCTCTTTGTCGGCCCTTTGTCGGCCCTTTGTCGGCTCTTTGTCGGCTCTTTGTCGGCTCTTTGTCGGCCCTTTGTCGGCCCTTTGTCGGCCCTTTGTCGGCTCTTTGTCGGCTCTTTGTCGGCTCTTTGTCGGCTCTTTGTCGGCCCTTTGTCAGCCTGTGGTCAGCCCTTTGTCAGCCCTTTGTCGGCTCTTTGTCGGCTCTTTGTCAGCCCTTTGTCAGCCCTTTGTCCACTCTTTGTCGGCTCTTTGTCAGCCCTTTGTCGGCTCTTTGTCGGCTCTTTGTCGGCTCTTTGTCGGCTCTTTGTCAGCCCTTTGTCAGCCTGTGGTCAGCCCTTTGTCGGCCCTTTGTCCACTCTTTGTCGGCTCTTTGTCAGCTCTTTGTCAGCTCTTTGTCAGCCCTTTGTCGGCCCGTGGTCGGCCCGTGGTCGGCTCTTTGTTGCTTCTCAGAGTGTTGTGGTGGCAAACAGTTGTTTAATCAACAGTTTAAAGGAAAAGTCTTCACACGTCGGCTGTCTTTCTTGAATTTTATTGAGCATTTGCGAATGGAGATAATAACAATACAAACCACATGAACAGTCAGTCAGTGAATGAATGCCTACATCAGCCCTGCTGTCTTTTTAGTTCCCATAACACATGCACATCGATAGTCAAAATACATGACGCTCAGGTGGTTTGACATTCCTTGGACACAACGTCTCTTGAGACTAACAAGGACACTTCGTGTCTGAGCTTCCTTGGCTCGTAACCTTGGTGTCTCTCACTGCTGTCACAGTAGGGGTTAAATGAGCAACATCATACATCATAGCAATACCAAATACCAGAATTTTCCATCACACTCCACCCTTTTTAGCATTCTCATGCTAAACCATGAGCATGGAAAATTCCCCATTATCTAACGATCTTATGACCTCCGAGTACCACCCGTACCAGCCAAACACCAGTATCACCAGCATCCAACATGAGAGACGAAACCAGGCAGAAGTTACAGGCCAATACAACAGTGAGCACGGTTACATGCACACAATAATCAGATAACTGGTAATAATCCGATTTGAGGCGTTTAGGTGCACTGTAATAATCTGATAATCAGAAAAACCTGGTTTACATGATTCAGTCCTTCAGTTGGATTTCTCCTCAAGTACATGACATAAAACTCAAACTTCCTGTTACAGTAGGTACTCATATCCTTGAAAAACCTCGAAAAGTATGCAAGTCATATATTTGCAGAATAAAGCACTCATCATGCTGACAGCTTATATTCTTACAGTACTGTTTGTTTTTATCATTAACAAATACATGTGAGAGCATTCTAATGTGTAGTTTATCAGTGTGGAGCCA